TAATTTTAATAATATCATGTCTGTTTTACTTCAAAAAATATCTGCTGAAAATAAATCTGTTTTCTTACTTGATGATTATAATATTGAACTGATGCAATCAAATAATGACATTGTGATATATGATTTTTTAAACTTATCCCCTTTGTATACGGGCACATGAAATGTGTTTAAAAACTTTAAATCTGATTTATCAAAAATTGACTGGGATGACACTACTAAGTTCACTGATACTAACACATGTTTCCAAACGTTTATTACTGAAACAACATTGACTTTAGGTCGCTACGCCATGCTTAAAAAAATAAGTATCAAAAACTTCAAACGTCGATTCAAGCCATGGATTACAAAAGGAATTATAAAATTTTATTCTAATGCGAAATCTCTTCCAACAAAAAATGTTTTAAAAAAAATTTTTTTTTATTAATAAGATTTAAAGATCTTATTAATAAAAAAAATTTGAAAGTATATTTAAAAGATATAAATATGTAATAGTTACATTAATTAAACTTAGTAAAAAAAAAACATTTAAAAAATTTTTTCTCAGAAAATGTAAAAAATCTTTGCAAACTTTGGAAAGGTATTAACATTCTAATTAATATAAAAAATTTGAATAAATTATCTCCCAACTGCTTACAAGAAAATGATACATATATAACTGACCCGACTTTAATCTCGGAATCATTAAACACTTTTTTTTACAAATGTTGCTCATAAACTCAAATCCAATATTCATTCATCTTGAATTAACTATCAAAAATATCTTAAATATCCAAATTACATAGCTTATTATTATCTCCAACAAGTATTCCTGAAATTTCATCTCTTATATCTAAATTGAATCCAAAAACATCATTAGGTCCAAACAGCATTCCCACAAATATTCTTATAGATTTTAACTGCGAATTTTTAAATTTTCTTTCTAAACTATCTATTACCTCATTTATAAATGGAACATTTCCTGATATTTTGAAATTATCTTGCGTTATTTCAATGTTTAAAAATGGCTCTATACTTTCATGCACTAGCTACAGACCTATTTCTCTTTTATCTAACATTAGCAAGCTTCTTGATAAACTTTCGTATTCTAGGTTGTACTTGTTTCTAAACTCATTTAATTTTTTAAATGATTTTTAATTTGGTTTTCGATTAAAACATTTTACTTGCGATGTATTAATAAGTATATCGGAAAAATCAGGAAAGCTCTTGATACTGGTTATTCCATTTGTGGTGTTTTTATCAATTTACAAAAAGCTTTCGATAACGTTGACCATATTATGGTCAACGTTTCACAATTCCATAAAACATTATGGAATTTGCGGTATTGTAAATGACTGTTTTCGATCTTATCTTTAAGATCGAAAACGATTTGTAAGTATTGTTGGTTTCAATTCTAGTAATAAATCAGTTTTGTGTGGTGTTCTTCAAAGTTCTGTTCTAGGTCCTCTTTTGTTTTTAATCTACGCTATTAACCTAATCAGCTCTGTTCTCTTCTCTTTAGTTCATCTGTTCTCTTCTCTTTTCAGTTTCAGTTCTCTGTTCTCTTATCTTCAGTTCATCTGTTTGCTGATGATACAAATCTCTTGCACATCAACAAATCGTATCATTCTTTATGTAAAAATGTTAATTCGGATTTAAAAGGTATAGTTCACTGGTTAAATGCTTACCTAATATGTCTTAACACCGAAAAAACTAAACAAATTTTCTTTTCATCTCCAAGAAAAAACAATTTCTTTAATAATGTTTAAATCAAAATCAAAATTAATAATAAACGGCTTTATCCTTTAAGAGTTATTAAATATCTTGGTGTATTAATTAATTGCAATCTTTCATGGAACTTTCATATCAATGAACTAAGCAAGAATCTCGAGCTAACGGTATGCTTTCAATAATTTGTCATTATGTTGATAAAGTTACACTTAGGAATATTTACTTTGCAATATTCTCATCTCATCTTAGCTATTGTTGTCAGGTTGGAAACTATTGCATTAACAAGTTGCTATCGCCTGAGCGTCAATTCATCAGATTAATAAACTTCCAACCAATTAAATCAGATACATCAAAGTCCTTCAAAAAACTTTTCTATCCAACATTTCCGGCGCTAGTAAAGTATGCTTTTTGTTTTTGACTCCTTAATTAAAAACATACCATCTTTTATCGCAAACATGTTCACAGAAAGTAGACTATTACATTCCTGCACGACTAAAAAAATACACAATGGAAAACTAAATGTACCATCTTTTAAAACCCAGAAGTATGGTATTCATTCTATTGTTTATTAGTGCGTCTGTGAATGGAACAGGAGCCTTGGATTCATTTTAAATGAGTTTAAAAAAATATATTATAAAATATTTTTACTCCATCTTAAACAATATCAATTTAAAAAAATTCTGAAAAACTTTTTTTTAACTTAAAGACATTATTATCCTTACAATTAAAATATTATTTTAATTTTCTTTTAGTAATTACTACAATTATCATCAGCACTTTTTGTTTATTATTTTTCTTTTTTTTTATTATTAAAACCTGCAAACAATTTCTATATGTTTGTTTTGATGTATATTTTAGGTGCTTTGGTTTGTTTGTTTACGGTCCGTGTGTTTTAGTGTGTCACTTGGCTTATTATTACTTATATTATTTTAAAAATTGGTGTCATTCCTTTGATCAGATTTCTGTATGAGTGATACCATCCTAATAAATCATTAATTAATAAATTATTATTATATTAATATTAGTTATTATTATTATTTTTTCATTGCAATTATTGTAAACATACTTATTATTACTGTTACTATAATTTGTATAAATTTTTTTTTTTATATTATATTATTATAATATATTATTGTTATTATTACTATTATTATTATTATTGTTATTATCATTGTTATCATTATAAAAACCATTGTAAAAATTATTTACGGAAAATAAATAGCTTGTTGTTGTTGTTGTTGCTGTTGTTAGTAGCATTCGCTGTAGATGCTTATACAGCATTCAAACTTTGAACCTGGCTTCAAAAAATATGTTTCGATGTTTTAAATGTGAGGATAAAAGACACGTGGCTGCAAAATGCTTTAAGACACAGGAAAACGAGTGCAGGAGCGAGAAGTATGCGCTACCTCGCTCCTGAATAATGGTGGAATTAGCGCATTGTTTATTGTTCATCTAAAAGTTAATGGTGTGTTAGCAAAAGCTATGGCAGACATGGAATGTTCAAAGACAATTATAAATCAGTTGTCAAGAAATCAAAATATATCCCATAATCCTCCAAAGGTAGTAACTTTTGATGGTAAAATTCATTAATGTAATGGATCAGCGGTTATCACTATTAAGGTTGATGATATCGAAATACAAGACAAAGTTATTTTTGTGGATTTTTAACCGTTTAGAGTTGATATGATGCTTGGAATGAGTTCCATAAAGTTAAGTCAATAAAATTGTTAAAAAGCAGAATCATAAAACAATGTTTAAAAATGGTGATAACGTTTGGTTGTATGTATCAAAGCGTTGTAAAAATGTATCGAAGCAAGTTGTAAAAGTTTATGGAGTCCCGCGTCGTGTAAAAAATATCCGATATTAAAATGACACTCGAACATGCAATTTTCCAAAAGTTGAAGGAGAGATGAACACAGACAGTGGTCATGATAACGCGGAAAATCATGTTGCGATAATTAAATGTATGTTAGAAATGAGTCAAAAAGTTGTATTACAAACGAACGAGAAAGCCGAAAATGGATTCGAAGAACAGAAATACTGTTGCCACGAAATACTCGAGAACAACGCATGCTTCAAAAATTCGATGATTATTATTAGTATAATCCTTAAGGACCAAGGAGGAGTGTAAGTATGGTGCGAAAGTTCAAGAACATTCTATGACAATTTTTGGTTTCTTTTTTGTTAGTAGTTTTTAATTATTTTAACTGTAATTAAGTATTTAATGATTTTTGTAATGATGATCTTTGTGGATAGTTATTTGATATAAATGGATGTAAAACTTTTTGTAGAGATGAGTTTAACTCAGGTTAATAAGTTTTTGGAAAGAAAAGGTAAAGTTTTGTTTTAAGCAAGAAAATAACAATTATAGATGTAAATCCAGTGCTTAAGCTAAGTATGTTTTTGTAAAACCTTCGATTTAACAAGTTTAAAAAGGTCACATCCTTTTTTAAAAAAGGATGTGACCTTATTTTCTGATTCTTATTTCTTTTCTAAATTTTAGTATCAAAAAGTTTTGAAAAGTTGAATCTAAATCCTGAGTCAAAATCAATCATAGTTTTAAAATCATAGCTTTTTATCTTTTATAGATTTAACAACAGACGCAACACTAACACTTATAGCTGTTGACCACTTTTTTTTTAGTTAAAGGGGGGGGGGGAGTATTTCCCTTCATTTAAAAATGGTTTGATTAGTTACTCTAAAAATACAACACTATTGACTAGCATTGATAAATTTATGATGAATAACTAAAAAAAAGCATGCTTATTACATATTTTTTTAGTTATTTAGGTTTGAAACTTAAGGTTTAATAATTTAGTCACATGCATTTCAGAAGTTTAGTATTATATAAAAGCTGTATAAAGATTTATTATGTATTATTTTACCTATATATTAAAAAATTTGTTTACACCTTTTTTTATTTTATATAAACGAATTTTTTTGATTAATAAGGTTCCTGCAACTTATTAGTTTTTTTATAAAATTTACATCTGCTACTTGGTGGGTCTTATTAAAACACAAGTTGTGGTTTATTAACATTTTTATAACATGTGGTTTATTAAATTTCACCTAAACTCAAACCTAATATTATGCCAAAGTTTACCCAGTTTGGTCTATACTAATGTGTATAACAGTTTTAAAACTAAATTCAGGTTTTAATCTAGGTTAGATCCCAACATTTTTAGGTCCTGTTTTAGTAATTCAAAATTCGTTAAATTTCCTACACATTTAGAATCCTAGACTCTTTTTTTGTTTTGTTTGTTTTTCTAATTAAATTTGTATTTTGTTTTAAGATAAAGAAGAACGCAGTAATCAAACGGAAACTTGTAAGTTTTTTTAAAATTAAAAAAAAGTTTCATTCATTTTAAAATTTTTTACTTTTTTTTCATTTTTTTAAATTTATTTTTTTTAAAAATCTTTCAACTTTTTCTTTAAGTTAAAATTATATAATTATTTTTAGGATATATATTTTTTTTGGAATAAAAAAATGTTTTATTTTATTAATAATTTTTTTATTGTCTTGAAAAATATTTATTCTTCAATAAAGTTCTTGGTTTAAATATTTTATCTGTTTTTACTATATATTTACATGAAATGTTTTTAAAATTTGGTTTTTTAAGAAAGTTAAAATTTATTTATATAAATTTATCATCCTAACCCTGGCCTAAACCATTTTTTGATTTTTTCTGCCATTAAGTGTATTTTTCTTTTTGCTTTTGTAATCTCAAATGTAAAAAAGTATATAAGTTATATGTAAAGTTTAATTGTCTTCGTATGTTTTTTTTTATTTTGCATAAGTTTTCCTGAAAGTATTAAGTTTTTTAATTTTATAATAATAATTTGTTCGTGTTTCAAGTTTATCAAAACGACAATTAATTTGCATCTCTATATGCAAATGTATTTAAAAATCAGAAGCAGTTTAATAACTAACAATCTGTTTCATAAATATAATGCATTTAAACACGAGCAGTCTATTCAAATTAGGAATAAAGTTTGTTGATGAATTTAAAAAAAGTTTTAACAGTCCTTTTCAAAAACACAAGCATCCTAAAATTGCAATGATGCTTCATCCACGTTTAACTTTAAAGGGATCCTCAACTGCCAAGACAAGTTGTGTTCATATTAAAGAAAATGTTTTAAAAAAACATTTGCGCTAAATTTTTTTGATTAAAACTTTATAATGAATGCACGCCATTAAATTTAAAATTGACGTGTTAGTTGAAGCTCGATACTTAATTACAGTTAAAATAATTAAAAACTACTAACAAAATACTTTTTAATTATTTTAACTGTAATTAAGTATTCTTACAAATGCAGAATGAACGTCTAAACTACATTGGTTAATCAAATCCATTGTGAAAGATGATGACTCTTGAACATACACAAGAACCTTTTCAACAATTCCCAATTCATTGTCAAGGAAATCTATCTGTAAAGGTGTATAAATAGATAAGTGTCATTATTTTGTCACATTCATATAGTGTCATTATATTGTATATAAAAATTACTAAGAAAACTTATAGATTAATAAAAAACACAAAATATTTATGTAAATTATTCAAAATCTAATTTGAATATCATTCAACTTTAAATTAGCTTCACTATTTTACAAATAATATTGTACATATATTGATGGTTACACATTGTATAAGTACATTTTGTAATGAATAAACATGTTTAGCCATAACAAATAATACTTATATAAATAATACACACTTGTTTGGCTAGGACATATTTTTTTTAATGGCATTTTATATATTTATATTTCTTATGGAAGAGTTAAAGCAACTTTTTTTACAACCAAATGTCTTTCCTGGTGTTAGCCTGTTATGAAAATTAGGAATATATTTTACAACCATTAGGAAGATTAGTATTCAAAGTAATAAGCCAAAAAAGCCTTATCTGATCTAATATAAGTTCAGCTTCTATCTTACTATAGGATAAGGATGTTTTATTCACAGTGAAGGATCTCTCTCTTTTTTGCGTATCATTTTATATTAGAAAATCTAACATCATAAAAGAGCAATTTTTTGATCAATATATTACTAGATATCTATAAATAATATATAAATATGAATATATTTAAAATATAAATTACTTTTTCTACATGATAAAAATGTGGTATGGATTCCGAAAGATCATATAACTTGCTAAAAATGTTAGTTTCAACAACAGTCTTACTCCCTATTCCTTTCCGAAGAGTAGAAATTAATTGTTTGGTCTTTTTATTAGAAAGCTCTAATACGACTTGAAGTTCCTTTATAACTTATAAGGATACTTGTTTTACTAATCTTCTATTTACCTTGTTAGAAGGACATCCAACAGTTACATCCAACGGGTTTCCGCCAGTTGATAAAGAAAATGTTGTCCCTGTTGAAATGCAGTCTGCACTCATTTTATTTTGTATTATACCTGAAGCAACTTGTTCAGCTTGAATGCTCTCTAGGCTTGTGAATAGAAAAATCAAGTTTTTTACAGCAGTTGATGAAGAACAGTTGTGGGCATGTCCTGCTGATAAGATTGACTAGCATTGTCCACAGAGCTTTGAATTATTGGCAGAAAAAGATATAACTGGTTCGGTTTCACTAATTAGAAGCATTCAATTTGAATTTCTGGTCAACATTTTCCATTCAACCTTTAAAAGTGAAATACAAAATTATATAAATATAAGTGCTTCATTACAATTTAGAATTTGCTATAAATAGTAAAGGTATATCTTATTTAATAATAAGGTTAAAAATAAAAACACGTAATAACGTTATTTTCGTTTTTAACGTTTTTTTAATTATTATTAAAGCGTATTTTATTAAGACTATTGATTTCTATAGATGGTATCTATATCTAAAGAAATTAATATTAATAATCTAAAAACTTAATAGCTTAAAAAACTTGACAGAAATAATGAATTTAAAATATAGTTTTACATTCTACCCTTGATACTTTCTCTCCCCACGAGCCTCTGGGTGTATTACCGGACTTGATCATGTAAAGATTTCTTCAACAACTGGAACAAACTACATTTGGGTAACTGCTAATTTCCAGGGAATAACTGGGATATATATACAGCTTCATCAAATCTTCTATTGTTGAATTTACAGGAGATAAAGACAAAAACCTTGCTCCAAAAAATTCCCAGCAGTTACAACATGTTGCATTTCGTTGAAAAGAAGCATTTGACATGCTAAAACCAGCCATTTAAATTTATTGAAATCAATGTGAATTATATCCAAAAAATGCTAACTTAATATAACACCATTAAGTTAAAATACTTAATCTTAAGAATACTTTAATTTAAATTGCAATCTTGAAGAAAAAGCTAATGCAAAATTCCTTTAATATAAAGTTACTACATCGGCAAAAATTAGTTAATGCTTAACTAAAAACAATTAAAAAATCTTTTAGTTATGCAGCCTGGATTTTATTTTCCCATTAAAAAATTTATTTTAAAAAGTTGCTTAATTTATTATTATTAATTTATGTTGACATATAAATAGAAAATACAAAGCGGCTATTAATTTCATTATTTAAAAAATATTTTAACTTTTAAATTCTTCTAATAAATTTGTAAGTCATTAATTTAAAATTGATGTTAATAAAAACCAGGTATTTTAAATGTTGTAAGAAGTTCGGTTAAATTACGTAAGTTGCAAAAAAGATATTCAAAAAGATGTCGAATTTCATCATTTTAATATATAATTTTTTTGTTTCAAATGTAAAATAGAGAACTTTCCATTAAATTTCTAGAGTATGTTTCTATACAATTTTTAATCAGAATAAAATTCGTTATTATAATCATTTATAAAAATATGAGGCTAGAAACTTTTGCATTGGCCTTTTTTTTGCCCTTTTTTGACCCTTAGCACCGTATTCAGATTTTAAAAAACCCTTTTTTTATAAGTAAACTACTAATACCCTAAAATAAAATAAAATTTGTATGAGTGACACGACATAAAACCTGGCGGTCTCTTTGGCCAACTGTGGCTGGCTTCTACAACATAAATAAATAATAAACATAAAACAATAATAAAACAAGTAATAAAAAATTATATATATATATATATATATATATATATATATATATATATATATATATTAGGGTGGTGCTCAAAAAACTTTTTCAAAGTAAATTGATGGGACAACCTCTATTTTTGTTCCTTTTAGTATAACAAACTTATGTGCAAAATTTGAGAAGGATATTTCATTAAGGGGTGCCACACGGGGTTGAAAGTTTCACTAAGGTTGACGCTAATGGCTGTAAGCACTTTAAAAAAATTTTTTTATATAAACTATTTTAATTCAAAAGTTTTTAAATAACAAAGTATTGAACATTAAAAACCATGAAAAATTAACTATAATTTCAATATCATTTTAGTTTTTCATTTTGTTTTGAATGGAAAAATGACTATTTAGTCCTGTTTAACAACAGTGGATTTCTTGGCATCTGGAATCTGTTTTCGATGCTCAGACACAACCTGGAGAAGTGCTTGCTTTTGTCCTTCATCTTTTGTTAGAATTTGGTTAAAGTCTTGGATAAGAGCAACTCCTCTCTCTATGCTCTGTCATTCACAACGCTCAAACCGGCTACAAAATGCTTAGCTGCAATAAAAACTTGGTCCTCGTTCCACAAAGATGAATCCAATTCAAGCCAAGAAGTTAAGATGCCCAGTATAACAAAAAACCTCATGGTGTTCGAGTTAATGAAATCAGCAAGCTCTGATGATGAAATGTTGTTTTCACATAGTTGAACACGTTTTGCAGGAATTCCATTTCCAGTTTTTGTTTTCATTGCATTTACCATCTCGTATTTTGTAGCTGCATCAACACAATGGTCAAAAAAACTAAAGGCAATCAGTTCCTCACTGAGGTAAAACATATGACGAGACAATGCCTTTATCCCTATATTCGCAGCATTTAAATTTATTGTCCTGAATTGTGTGAGTCGTTTAAGGCACATAAGATCATTCAGTGGAGCTTGAATGGACAGCGAAGCAGTAAACCATGAGTTGAGACAAAGCATAAATTTATTTCATGCTTCGTCATGCGTAACTGGGATCTGAAGAGAAAAATTTTGATTGAATAAATAGCCTTGGCCATCCATCTGGCCCAATGCATAGCCCCAGGAGCCATAAAATGAACCCCGCGAGGAGGAATATGACCCAGGTAGATCAAAGACAGTTCTAAAAGTTCCCTATGATCATCACGAGACTGGTTCTCTGTCAGTAAGCAGTTCTGAATGAAATCAATAGCTTCTTTCATCATTTCTCTGTTGCTTCTAAAAACTAAAGCTGTTTCAGGATCTGATATACCGTCTTCATATTTGTCACGAACGATTAATGCCCATGCTGTTTGAAACCTTTTAAACATCAAAATGTCTGGTCCAGTAGATGGTACAGCTAATGAGTTAAACACATCTCCAAGAACATCTTAAAAAATATGGTGCCGACATGCAAGATGGAGCAGCTCTTTATTCATCTTTTGTTCAATAACAACTGCTGCACCAGAGCGAATCCCAGAATTACTGGCTGTAGTGTCAAAAGACATGGCTTTTATATTCTCTGCAAGATTCCAGTCGTAGATTGCTGTTACAACTGCATTTGCCATTGCCTCTCCAGTGCCATTTGGGAGCTTAGGCACATTCAATAGACGTTCTACACCTTGACCCGAAACAAGAATAGGCAAGCGATCTATTTTTTCATGTTTTCCTGATATATCAGGGAGTAACTTGCCGTCCCTAGTTCACTTGGGTTTTGACCAACAGCAACTGAGAATGAAGCCAAAGCATAAACCGCATTTCGGTCGCTGATCTTTGTTCGATCTAAAGCTGCTGCAACTTGTGGACTGACAATATTTTTGGACGAGGTTGTTTTGTCTGTGGTGTCACTGCTGAGTCATGGTCAGAATCTACGTTCTCATTGCAACTTTTTTCTGAATCTGATTTAAATGTTTCAACTACAGCTTCACCGTTGCTGACAGCATGTCTCAATTCTTCTCGTTCTGTTCTGGCTTTTATAGCCTCTTGTCTCTCATGTTTACGCTTCAACTTGACTGCCAATTTTCTGTCTATTTGTGCCATTGAACTTGAATGTCTTCCATTTCCAAGCTGAGCTTTAAGAAAAAGTTTGTCTTCTGGATTTTCTATAAGCCTCTCGGCATCAACATGAGAAATGTCGAACGTATCTTCAAATGATGCAACAAAGGCTGTTTCTTTTGCTATTTGAGTTGCTCCTCCTCTTTTTGAAGCCTTTTGTAGATTTCTCCACTCGTTGTATATTTTCTCTAGCCTCGCAATTGCATGTTGCAATGTTGTCATTGGCATGTAAGCTTTGTTCCAAAAATCAGCAACTGTTTTAACAGTAATGCCCGAACTTTCTCGCACGGTTTTTTTGTTTATTTTTAACTGATGGAAGAAAAACTGTAATGCTTGCTTTCGTGACGGTAGTCTAGTACCATAATGGAGGCATTTGTGAAACCGAGAAGTTAAATTTCGGTTGCAGATCTAGTTGCAGGTTTTGATTGTGACATTTTCTGATATTTATTAATCTAGAAAAATACAAATAAAGTTATGCAATAAGCATGATGTGAATTGCAAAAGTTATAAAATTTTATTCATTTAGTATATATTCAGTGATTCCATTATTCAGTATCTTTTTTGAGTTTAGAGATATGAATTTATATAAAATAAAATTCAAAGTAGTTTACATAATTTATATTACAAAATAACAACTTAAATGTATACTGACTTTTCACAATTAAGATATTCCACTGCAAAATTGTTAAAAATAAAATTTTTTAGTTAAATAATTAATTTAGTAGTCTGATAGTGATAAACATACAAAATGGCGGTTTGGTGGCAAATTACAAGGAATTCTGGGATAGAAAAAATAAGTAAGTGGGCTGCAGCTAAGTTATTAATAATTAAGCACTATAAAAATTTTACTATTTGAATGTAACAAATTTCTAAAAATGCTATGAAGTAAAATTTCTGGTTTTTTTATCTGTATTTGGAAATTTATAAATATTTTCCATATACAAAACATTAATTAGTTGATAAATTTAACAACTGGTCAGATTCTCAAAAAAAAACATAAAGAGTACACCTCATTGAAAAGACTTCTGGTTGTGTTCAAAATGGATTTACAGATAAAAAAATTTATTTAAAGATTTCAATAATATTTAACAACACATTAATTTACACGGCTATCTTTTCTATCGCGTATATGTGATTTTATCAGTTGGCATGTGGCACCCTTTAATGAAGGAATATTTTTATGAAATTTTGCACATGAGTTCATGAGATCAATAGAAACAGGACTAGAGGTTGTCCCAGACAAAATCTGAACATTTAATTTTTGACTATTACCCTAATATATATATATATATATATATATATATATATATATATATATATATATATATATATATATATATATATATATATATATATATATATATATATATTTGTATAAATTTTTACTAAATCACAAATATTTTTTGTGATTTAGTAAAAAATTATACAAATATTTAATTTTCTGATTGTATTAGAAAAAATACTTTTATCTTTTTTTTTTTTTTTTATTATTTTCTATCTTAAAAAGATATTGCGATGATGTTATATACCAAAACTGTTATAAATTAACACACTGAATAAACTATCAAGCCTGCAAATTGCGGCTAACATTATACAGACCCCAAGGACCAAAAATAAATGGAGAATGCGAGCTTCGACTAAAGCGCTAATTTTAATTTTGTTGGTATGCATTCATTATTTAGTTTCAATCAAAAAAGATTAGCCTAAATATTTTTTTTAAACATTTTCTTTAATATGAACACAACTTATCTCGGCAGTTAGGAATCCTTTTAAGTTTATTTCAAGTTAAAAAAAAGAATTTTAAAATGTTGAATTTTATTCTTTAAAAAGAGAATAAAATTTAAAAAATTGATTTTTCAACTTAATACATACCTAAGAATAAGAACATTTCGTCCTATGTGCGAAATCATCGAGTTGCATCAACTAATAATCCATAGAAAATGGCATCTTTTATTTGATCTAAAAAAGTTTGAAGTACTTTGTCTGAACATAGGGAGATTAGTTCATTTTGAAAATACCAAGACAAATATTGTAGTTGTCCCTTGATACTTTTTGGTTCTAACTGTTTTGGTTGAACTTTGGCAAGATGTGTCACTTCATCATACTTTTCAATCAATTTTAAAATTCCTAAAAAATTACTATTATGAACATCCCTAATTGTTGTCTCTTTGAAATGCTAAACCTAATGCTAAATCCTACTCGGACTAAATAAATTGCTGTTATTTCGATCGAACAAATTACGGCTTTGTAGACAACAAATTTTTATTTTTTTATACTCAATTCTTACCATTCTCTAGGAAAATCTTTTAATAGTTAATTTTTTATTTTTGTAAACAACAAAGGTTCATAAAACTTTCTTCTTTGTATTAAGAGGTCTTGGATAATGATTCCGCCTAATTTTCTCAAAGCTTTAAGAAATTACTATATATTAGCGTTAATCATCTGAAAAAAATTTGGGTCATGTATCAGGGTCATATCAAATTTTTTAAATTGATTAGAATCAGAAATATTAGATCTTTTTCTGATGAACTTAGATCTTTTTCTGGTGCACTATCTATGGCTTTTCTCCCATGGCTTGTTGTTCAAATGCAATAGATTCATGTTCCTTTTCTAACAATAATTCAAGCGCCTAGGATTTTTTTCAAGAAAAATCCTTGGCGCTTCAATTACTCTCTACAATCTTTAGTTAGTTTAGTTAATCCTTAATTCCATTTTCATATTAGTTAAACTTGGTTTCGACCTAAATCCTTAAATAGTTTTTTTTTTTTTTTTAATTTTTGTTGAAATTTGTTTACTCGTACTATAAAAGCTTTTCTCAAGTTGTGTCTCATTAACACTTACTCATGGTAGTGGTCTGATTTATATTTGCGTTGTAAAGTTTGGGAAAGCTAACGCGATATAAAACAAATTTTAAGTAAAATATTACCATAAAATATATGATTTGAATTCATTATATCCCGACGGCCATTTGTTTTTAAAAGTTACGATCTAAATGTATTTTAAATGTCTTTTAAACGTCTTTTAAACGTCTTTTAAACATTAATGTTTAAAAGACGTTTAAAACACATTTAGAACGTAACTTTTAAAAACAAATGCCCGTCGGGATTAATTTAAGAAACTAATATAAATTGGCATATGATGATGATAAATACCTTATTAAAATAAAGAAATAGTTTTTTAAATATATTTTAACATATTGCTATTTATAATACAATCAAACATTAAAAAATGTAGTATATTTTATTTGTTATATAGAATATTACTCACAAATTTAATTCAGATATATTTTATTTAGCTGTTCCCAAAGTTGAAAGCCTTTCTTTTCATCAGATTAGTTTGCTTGCTAACTTACTAGATCCTGATTATGGTTGGGCAGAATTTGCCAATTTCCTTTTTCAAGATGACAAAGAATTCTTAAAAAAAGTAGAAGCGCTTCAATATGACTATGCAGGCGGGGGTAATCCCGTTGAGAAGTTCTTGAAACTTTTGCTAGAAAGAAAGCCATTGTTCACTATAAAAGAATTTTTGCTTGTTTGTGAAAAGGTAAAACGAGAAGATGTCATACTCTACGCAGAAAAACACTTTAAAGATATTGATTTAGTTAGCAAATTAGATGATACACAACTTAGGAAGTTCGCCGGTGTGATTCGTGGAAATATTACTCCTAGTAATTGGGCCGATATTGCATGTCAGTTTGAGTTTTCAAAGGAAGATTTAAGGAATATAGATCGTGAACGACTGATTCCGAATAGTTATAGTCCGACAGCAAAGTTATTTGAAAAAATTCAACAAAGCTACCCAGAAATAGAGTTACAAAAGTTAATCATTGTATGTGAACAAATCAGAAGGATTGATGTTGCAAATAAACTTCGTGAGTTTTTGCTAACTCCCTAAGTTTATTGAGTCAGAAAATCTGCTCAAGATAAATTCATTGATTTTTAAGTTATCTTGTTTTGTATATTTTTTTAATCTATTTGATTTGTTAATAATTTTATTAAATTTTTATTGCTAGGTAAATATTTCTATTTTAAATACTATTTTTAATTTTATTAAATTTTTACTTCTAGTTAATTATTTCTACTTTTAACTTTTGAATGCTTTCTACTTTTATTAAACTTTTGAATACCATTACCATCTAATATAATGTATTTTCTCGTAAAAATTGATAAAATTCTGAAAACTGTCTGACTTGTCTTTTAGTTGTCCAACTATTTAGGATTACTTAAAACTGGCGCGGCGAGGGTTATTAGCGCCCGGAGCCATAAATAAATATTGCGCCTATTCATTCCCATTGAAAATCAATAGGCGCCTATTTGGAGGCTGTTTTTTTTTTATTTTTGCTCCTCTTTCTCATTATGTCGCATGCGAAGCGATGATAGGTTGTAAATCATGGTATAGACATTAAATCTTGAAGTTTTGGGTATTTTGGATCTATATTACAATTATATATATATATATATATATATATATATATATATATATATATATATATATATATATATATATATATATATATATATATATATATATATATATATATATATATATATATATATATATTATTTATATCCATATGTATGTATTTTTATATATTTTTTTATGCCAGTTAAAGATATATAAAAATAAAATATCAAATACGAAATCAATAATAAAATAAAGTCGAAGAAAAAATATTAACATTTATAAGTTTACTTGTCATTTTATTTAAGAATATTTTATCGCATTTTAAGCGATTAAGCTAAGATTATTTTTTCTCTCTAAATAAAACTAATATATTTGGAAAAATTTATGTCGGATAACAAGCCTCAAAAATTGTCATTAAAATACCTTCATTAAAATGCTTAAATATATATTTTATATCAACAACTTAAGTTTTCACTAAAAAACTACTTAAATTATTTAATATCATGAAATAATCTAGCGATTTTCATAATATAACAGGGTTCGTACTGTACCTGGAAAACCTGGAAAATGAGCCAAATTTGGATAAAGTCATGGAAAACCTGGAAAAGTCAGGGAAATTTTTTTTTTTCTAGGTAGTCAGGGAATTCTGATTGAGAAACTACTCGTTTTACAAATAAGCTATTATGTTTCTGTTGGTGCTTCCCATTTATTTTGACAATTAAAAAATACCCTATAGTGTTTCACACCTTTACCACGCATATAATATTTTATTTTTAAAAATTTGACCACGGCTTTTTAACTTTTTTAAAACTTGAATATTTTTAAATGTATTTTAAAAGGCAAAACGCTCTTATTACTAACAATTGTTTTAAAATATTAATCAATAAAAATATTTTATTTAAATTGTCTATGGTTATTATTTTTTTTTTACAATAATAGTGTATTTTCTTTTTTTTATTTATTATAAAAAAAAAAATTCCTTTTTTTTGTTTATTATAAAAAAAAAAATTTTTTATGATCAATTTCAATCGTTTAAAACTATTTCTGTCATTTATTCTGTAAACAACAGCATCTTTAACTTTAAACATTTTTGTGTCTTTAAAGCGAAAAACTTCTTTTTTTATTTTAAGTTACATAAGTTACAGAAAGTTTCAAAGATTTTCAACTTTGATGAAAACTTTTGAAAGTTTTTATTAAAAAAGTAATGGTTTCTATAAGCATTCCAATGACTATTAGATTAAAATCCTTGTGAAAATGAATTTTGAAAATTAAAAAAAGGTTTTTAAAGTTAATATAATGAAATTTGTTACAGTGCCCTATGTTATAAATATAAATCATTTTGAAATATTTTGTTTCCATTTATAGAATTAAAATAATGAATAAAATAGAAAAAAAAGCTCATTTTAAAGAAGAATGGTTAAATAAAAACATTTACCCTCATTTTGACTCTTGGCTAATGAAAGGAAAAAATAACACCCAGGCAAGAAGCAAATTATGCAATAAAATAATTGAACTTTCAAACATGGGTATTCAAGCAATAAAAAGTCACGAGAAAGGAAAAAAACATGTTTCAGTTGCAAGCAATTTCTCTTGTTTTTTTAAATCATCTGGCTCTAAAAATACTAATTCACCTAATTCAGTAGAAGAGTCTAATTTAAAGACAACTGATAGTTTCTCAACAGGACAAATGAAGCAGCAATCTTTAGAACTCATCGTATCAAATTCTAATAAAATCTGTGCAGAAATTATGTGGGCATTGCATTGTTACTTAAATAGAATTTCTAACAATTCAAACAAAAATGTAACAAATTTGTTTCAAGCAATGTTTCCTGACAGTGAGATTGCTAAATCTTTACAAATGGGACCAAATAAAGTCGGATATAGCATCACTCATGGTCTTGGGCCTTATTTTAAAGGTTTACTTAAACAACAAATGAGCCTGTCTCCTTGGCTTGTCGTATCCTTTGATTAATCCCTCAACAAAAAAACTCAAACTTGTCAAATGGATTTACTCATCCGGTATTGGAATGAGGAAAAAATGCAAGTTGAAGTGAGGTATTGGGATTCCTCATTTATGGGACATAGTACTAGTCTTGATTTTGTAAATCATTTTAATGAAAAGATAAGTGATATTAATATCTGCAAAATTGTTCAGGTCTCTATGGATGGACCCAGTGTCAACTTGAAATTTCACAGAGACATTCAAAGCAAACGTGAAGAGCACGAATTATCTAAACTTATTGACATAGGCTTCTGTTCCCTACACATAATTCATGGTGCTTTCAAAACAGGAGTAGAATCAACTGATTGGGAACTTAAAAAGACATTTAAAAGCTGCTTTACCTTATTTCATGATTCTCCTGCCAGAAGAAGTGAATTTATCAGTATCACTGAAGGTTCTGTGTTCCTGCTTTCATTTTGCGCAACCAGATGGGTTGAAGACAAAAAGGTAGCGGATAGATTAATTAGTATTTGGCCATCTATTATAAAAATTGTTAATTATTGGGAGTCTCTGCCTAAAAGTAAACGACCATCTTGCAAATCATATAAGTTTGTTGTAAATGCTGTTAAAAAAGAACTTTCTCTTGTAAAATTCCAGTTTTTTAGCTACCTGGCGAGCATGTTTATACCGTTTCTGAAGCTCTATCAGACAGATGCTCCAATGTTGCCTCACATGAATGGTGATCTTGTGCAGTTGATTAAGAGTATTCTTAGGATGTTTATTAAATCTGAAACTATTGAGGCTACCTCAAAACTTACCAAATTGATCTGCAAAATAAAGAGAACCATTTGAAACCCAGTGAAATTGATATTGGGTTTGCTGCAGAGTTATCACTGTCAAAGCTCAGAAAAAATGATGCAGTTATTTTGAAGGATATGAAAGAATTTAAAATTCAATGCATGCACATTTTAATTTCAGCTGCTGAAAAGTTATTTAAAAGATGTCCCCTTGATTCCGTGATTGTTAACACGAGTACTTGTTTGCTTCCAAATTTTTATGCTCAGATCACACCTGAAAAAATAGGAATCAAATGAAAATATTGCTGCATCATCTTATTTCACTTGGAATATTAACTGCTTCTTATTCTGACAAAGTTATCAGCCAGTTCTCAAAGTTTATTTCATCAGAATTTGCTCTGAATCAGGATGTTTTCATTAGTTATGATCGAAATAATAAACGTCTTGATGATTTTTACTTCAAAAACATTGACATAAAAAAGTATCCAGAGTTGTCATTTGTCATTAAGTTGGTTTTGACTGTGAGTCATGGACAGGCATCAGTTGAACGGGGGTTTACTGTCAATAAGGATGTGGTTACCGATAATATATCAACAGATGGTATTGTTGGACGGCGTCTTGTGCGTGATTTCATGCTTACCAACAACCTCAACACCCACTCTGTCCAGATTACATCAGAAATGAAAGTTGCCTTTATATCTGCTTATCAAAAATACCAGATCATGCTTGAGGAAGAGAAGTCAAAGAATAAAAAACATGCTATGTTAGATCAGAAAGCCATTATTTTGTCTGAAATTGAAGAGCTAAAATATAAAATGGGTTTCCTTACAAAAACTTCATTGATGCTAGAAAAAGAGTTTGTCTTAACTGTGGAACAAGCGGAAAAAGAAAACAATTTATCATTGGTCAGCAAAGCGAATGCTTTAAAAAGGAAAAGCGAGGAGAAAATGAAAGACGTAGCTAAGTTGCAGGAAACATTATTGATATTAGAACAGAAGAGAAAGAAACTGAATTAACAATAGTTGCTTTTTGACAATTTGTTTGTTTATATAAAATATTATTTATGTTGACATATTAGTTCGACTTAACGAGACTTTGCAAAAGTCAATCATTCGTTAAGTCGAACCATTTTCGTTGGTCTCTTGAAGGTTGTGTTATCGGGAATCAACTGAATAGTGTTAACTATTTGGAGAGGTAGATTTTTATCGAAGCAAAGTTTATCAAAGAGAAAAATGAGTTGCCATTGCCAAAAGTTTTTCAACATATAACGAACATAATTAAATAAGCGAGTTGTTGTTGGAAATATGGAAATGCAGAAATTAAAATAAGAAAATTGAAATATAAGAAAATATGAGAGTAAAATAAGAAGCTAAATAAATAAAAATATTATATTATATTTTCGCCTGTGTAATAGAGTAAAATGGAGTCAAATGAAATAGTTAAAGATTAATTATTAATTTTTTACGGAAAAAAGTTTTCCAATTTTTTTTTTTTTAAAGTTGTAGAGAGTATCAAGCTGTATTTAAAATTTTAACAATTTTTTTGTAAAGTTTTTTATGAAACTTTATTTGATTAAAAAATTTTTTATTCCATTCTACACTGACATTCGGGGAGAATGAAATACGCAAATATAAATGTAATTAAAACAACGATTTATTATAAAAACAAAAAAGCAATCAATAATAACAATTGAAAAAACAATTAATAATAACAATTAAAAAAATCAATCAAATAAAATAAACTTTTTTATTCTTGTGATGATGTTGAGCCGTTTAGAGGTACTAGAGGTTGAGTTGAGTTTGTGCGGCAATTGTGCGGTACTTTTTGTAAAACGCAGCGCCTTTTACGTAATGCTTTGGTATGCATGTTTGACACAGCCAAACTTTGCAATTTGAATTTTCACACTGGTACCATTCCATAATATGAGTTGCTAAAATTTCGCCCAAAAGTTTTCGGCACTTTTTATACTTGAATTGGTTTGTAGCTAATATTTTCGTTGGAGTTTTTGCTTGGTTTATTTGCTGTTCTCCATTAGAGCTAAGCTTAGGTTATTTTTGTAGCTTGCTTTGCTGCTTTTTTGCTCTCAGCATCCTTCAACCTTTTAAGTATTTCAGGTTTGTTGAAACACTCCCCTTCGAATCTTGGCACATCTACATTTTTTCTTTTTTGTGTGTCAACGTGTTGGATACAAAACATTTGTTGCAAAGCTGATCCAAGTGATTGGAGTGATTGCAGTTATTTTGCAACTTCTTTTTGAATTTCCTTTTGAACAGCCGGAGTTACTACAATATTGAAGGTTGTTTGCAGACAAGGTGACTTTTGAGATGAGTTTGGAGCTGATGCTATGTGACATATGCTGATGCTAGATGTTGTTGGTGTAGATTCAGAGGGCAGTGGCTGAGGTAGTGTAGTTTCTGGTGCTAGATTTGGTGATGGCTCTATCATAGATTCTGGTTGTTAAGATGATGAAGGCTCAGGTTCAGATCTGAGGCTCAGGTTCAGATCTGAAACATTCTTTTGATAAGTTGCTAAACTTTGTCTCTGCATAAAACTGTTGAAGTAATTTGCGCCAAACTCTTTTGACATGGCAATAAACACCAACATCTAGTGGCTGTAGAATGTGCGAGTGGTAAGCGAGTTAACAAGAGAGTAACTAGCAAATTTTATTCATTTATTAGAACCATTTTATAAAAGCAAAAGTAAAATTTAAATTTAGTTAGAAAAATTCGTTCATTGAAATTTATACAAAAATTTGTAGTTGGAGATTTTATTGGTCACTTGAGACCTAATAAAAAAAAGCCGCTTTTAAGAAATAAGCTATTGCTTCGTATTTATTTATTTATTAGCATATTTCATTCAACCTTGCAACACTTCGTTTCCGCTTTTAACATTTTTTCCTAAATAGCAATTTTGATTTTGAAAAAAAGATTCTTGTTCAGAGTAAAAAGTTGTACTAGAAAACATTTTAAGTTCAATAATATCAAATTTAAATTCCGAGAGTTTTAATTTTCCTTTTCAAATAAATAAAAAAAATTTTATTACGCATTCGAAAACTTATAAATTTTTATGATTTTTTTTTTACTAAAAATAAAATTTTATACAATCTTACCCAGACAGCACACGACTTCGGGCCAGAACTCTGGCGAATCATTGCACGCCGCTGCGACAATGTTAGTAACGGGCCATTACTGGCGCGAGTCTGGCAAGCGACTCAAGCAACTTTTTCATGTATGGTAAATCATCGCAAAAAGTCGGAGCGGCGTGCGACAAAATCCCAGAACTGGCTAGTAGTTGTATGCCACTGCAACGGCATTTGATTTTGGACCAGATTGGCCCAATTGCATTGGATACAGAGTTTTGGCCGAATGTCGTTTTGCCATAATTGCATTATTATTTAAATGCTTTTTTCTCCCTCTCGGTGACACTAAATAGGGATTCTCTATTATTTAGCAAGATTGTTCCAGAGTAAACCCCTTTGAGGAATCAATAAATTAAAACCTCATTATTTTTAAGGTCATTTTTTAATACTAACTGCTAGCTTTGCAATTAAAAATAACCAATTTTCAATCGCAAAACTTTCCCATTCAATCTTATTGCTCTCTCAGAACTATTGTGCCTTGATGAATTAAGATGAATTAAAAATCTTTTAAAATGATATATTTAATATAAAGTAAGTATTTTAGTATAGTTATTCTATACTAAAATATGCCATTTTTAAAGACTTACTAACAATAAAAACTATATAAACGCAAGTCATATATTATTCCTCCATAATATTACTTCCCAGCAAACATTTTGACGTAAATATATCGTCGAAATTATATTAAATTAACGTTGTTTTGACGTTGAATATTGAAAGACGGAATGACGTAGAAATCTGACAACAAAACACCGTCTAATTTCGACGTTGAAAATCGAATAAGATTTTACGTCTAAATGTTGTTAAGTTTCGACGTCAAATACATGGCAATATTTAAATTTAAAATAACGTAAAAGTATTACGCATTACCCAGTGGGCACACGACGTTATTTCGACGTTGATTTACAGTTGATTTTTAGTCGCGACGTCATATAACCAAAAATCAACGTTGTATCAACGTTGAAAAGTTTGTTTAAAACTATCAAATAAAATCGACGTTGATTCCACGTTAATTCAACGAGTTCGATCGTTCGTAATTGCAATATGATAACTAAAACACGCATGCAAGACTTAAAATTTTTTTATCAACATGACAAATAACAAGCAAAGACTTAACAAGTTACTTGATAGCCCAATAAAAACAAGTAAAGTCACACATGCTAATAAATTAGGTCATCTGTTGCCTTTTTATAAGATTTTGAATTTGACAATTTAACAATAATACATGGCTTAACTTGTGATGCAGTTAGTTAGGTAAATATTAAATGGATATTTCTTTATGACCGTATTATTTCATGAGTGTGGATTACAAGTAGAGACTACTTGATATATTATATAAATATAAAATATATATTATATATGTTTTTCTTATTTATATAATATATATATATATATATATATATATATATATATATATATATATATATATATATATATATATATATATATATATATATATATATATATATATATATGTAGTATATATACTTATATTATATATGTATATATACATATATAGTGTATGTATATATTATATATGCATACTATATATATGTATATATATATATATATATATATATATATATATATATATATATATATATATATATATACATATATATAATATGCATATATAATATATACATTCACTATATATGTATATATACATACATAATATAAATATATATAATGGATGATGTTTTACAAAATAATGATTTATCAAGCTTTTTTACCAATCCATGTAATTTAAAGAGTTTAAATATTTTTTACATTAAAAAATTTTTATAAAATTTTTAAAGATTTTTTTTGTAAAGTTGTATAAAAAAGAATTTGTGAATGCTTCTTTAGTCCATAGAATTAGTAGAAAAATCAACATAAAAATTTAGCAAGTTTTAGCAACTGTATAATGTATCATAACGTACAGTTTAAAGTTGTAATTTTCTGTTAGCTATTTTACATGAACAAATTTTTAATATATAAGTATTTTTTCTATTATAATTTCTACTATACTTTTCCAGTTGAAAAAGTATAGTAGGGCATGCAAAATGTTCATTCGAGCTGTTTGGATAGAAAATACAGAGAAATAAAGAGCGAAAGTTCGATTTTCTCTCTTTATTTCTCTGTATTTTTGATAATTTTTTGTGCTGCTCGTCATCTTTAAATGTATTAAATTGTTTCAATGAAATGCATAAACCCCATCTAACTAATACAGATTTACGCTGCTCAAAATTTAATGTCATGGAGATATGTAATTTTTTTTATATAAACCTTAAGTCATTACTTTTTTTTCCTTATTTTTTTAACATGCTTTTATTCTGTATATGTTGTTTTCAGTGTTAAGATATATTCTTTATTATATATTCTTTATTATATATAATGTATTTAAAACATTTTTAAATTGAATGAATATTCTTAGATTATGAGTTATGTAATAAATTTGAATTTCCCTCTATTAGTGATACTCAGATAGAATCAGGTTCAGAAAACAGTAACTATTTCAAAAGATACTTAATTCAAGTATTATTAGTTATATATTTTGATATTAATTATTATAGGAGCCACTACCATGCTTATGCAAGAGAAAACATAATAACCAACAGAATAGTAAGCAAATACCTACTCCTGTAACGCAAAAAAAGAAACAGAAAACATTTTTTATGCATACTCCACATACTGTAGCTCAAGGTATTAATTGTCTGTCTGCAAGTTGATTTAGGAAGAAAAGATTGTGAACATTTTTTTCTATGCTTTAGTGATTTACACATTTTTTTGGTTGCTAAATTAATACATTTTATTTAATTTATGAATAATGTTTTATTTTATAAATTTTTTGTTCTTGTGTTTTAACACTTTTAGAAATTAATTAATGTTTGGTTCTTTTGTCTTTCTGATGTATCTTTATTGTTGGAAAGAGATGTTAGTAAAAACTCTTTCCAGTAATTAAAGTAATATTATGACAAATAGTTCTGAAATTCTATGGATGAACTTTCAGCAGTAATTTAATGTTTATGATAACAGTTTAAATGATTCTTGGGTGAGGTCAGAAGTGATGGGTTGTTTTACACCATGACTTTTTGCAGTTTTTTTAATTGTTTTTTGATTAAGTATTTATTAATAACTTAGCCTAAGTTAATCTACTTGTAACTTTTTATAAATGTACTATAAAAATAATGTGGTGTAATTATTTTCTTAAACCTTTAGGTTAACAAACTTTCTAAAATTGGAGGTAAAACCATTAAGACAAATACAAAAAAATGTGATGCAAAGGTTTGTTAAAAGTAGTTTTAAATAAAAAATCTTTTGAATCTTTTTTATAGTTTGTTTTAAACTTGTGTTAAAAATCTGTGTAGCATATATTTTTAAAAGTTTGACGAATTCTAATCAGACATAAAATTAATCTTTTTTTTTTATGTCTGGTTATAATTTTTTTTGAAACTGTTTTGTCTTACTTTTGTATTTCCTTGAGCTAAAGAACAACCTTAAAGTACAAAGGTTGATTTGTAATGCATACTTAACCTTTTTTTTTACTCTATATATACATACATATATATGTACATAAATAAACATACATATATATGTATGTATATATATATATATATATATATATATATATATATATATATATATGTATATATATATATATATATATATATATATATATATATATATATATATATATATATATATATATATATATATATATATATATATATATATATATATATATATATATATATATAACATTATTAGTGCAATTTAAAGTTTTTTCTTTTATTTATAAAGTTGTACTTGATAAAAACAAATAAATAAAGATGAACATTTTGAATATTTATTGATTATTATGATAAATTATATAAAATACAGTCGTGTGACAATTTATTATGGCCACCCACAATTTTTCAAAATTATCAAGTTTCAAAGTCTATTATTTTAGTATTTTTTTGTGATTTATGTACTAAAAGTAACTTTTATTTAAGAAATGGGTATTTTTTTGACAAATAAAAACATTTAAAATATTGTTTATTATTTTATTATTCAAATGTTATTAAATAAATTTTATTATTCAAATTAAATAAATTTTATTATTCAAATATTACTGCAAATATATTCAAGATCAATATTTGGTGATTCCTCCTTTGCCTCTATAATTGCAGGAACCCTTTTTGGCATACTTTTAATGCATTTTTGAGCCATTTCCTTTAATTCTTTATTATAGTTCCAATGTTGAATAATTCTTTCTATTAAATACACTTTATTTGTAATAATTTTTTCAGATATTTGCTTCTTTACGAGTGCCCAAACATTTTCTATAGGATTTAGGTCAGAAGAGTTTCCTGGCCAATCAAGTAATGGAATAAATTGTTCTGATAGATATTTTTTAACTAATTTAGCTGTGCGACATGGTCATGCCATGTCCTGCATGAAGGCTTTTTTTTCACCTGGACTAAACTATTCTGCCAATTGTGACAACAATCTTTGTTCCAGCATTTTTATATTGTAACTGTAACATTTTTCATTCTGCAATATAGAACCTTCCTATTTCCTTTACGCATTTCATTGATCAGATCATCACAGAAGCGGTGTGTTTAACAGTTTGCATGATGCAGTCCAATAAGTATTTTTTCCCTTTTTTTCTTTTTAAAACTTAAAAGTACTCTCGACGCTAAGGCATCCCTTAAATTATTATACAAGGATTGTTAAGTGAATATTGAATGAATATTTAAAGTTTGGTGTAAGAAAGTGGATATTTTAAATTCATCTAAATTAATTTTATTAATTCCAATCATATGTTAAATTCCTATACTTTTTTGTCCACTCAAGCTTTTTTTGTACAATTTTTGGTGTCAGTTTAGGCTTCTTAGCTGGACGTCGTAAAAATGTAACCAAGATTGTGTAGGCAATGTTCGACCGTTCTCTTCAACATTTTGACTCCAGATTGGCCCAGCTTATTAGTTATTTCGTTGTTGGTGGCCCGTCTATTTTCTAGAACAATCTTGGTAAGTATTCATTTCTTGCATGGTGTTAGGATTCTCTTCTTTCCACATTTACCAACCTTCTTTGGCATCAAGTTCTCCATATTAGCATTTTTTTGTGTATATTTTGTACAGATACCCGCGAAATACCATATTTTCTAGCTATTTTTCATTGAGAATGATCAGTATTTATTAAAAGTGCCCTGATTTCAGCAATTTTTTGTGACAAGTTTTTTTTTTCCCTCATAACTAAAATAAGATATCACATATCAGTACTACATTTGCTTTGGTACTCATAACTTTAAAAATATCAAACTAAACACAACTATTTTTAATTTAAAATAAAAAGAAATATTCAAGAAATTTTTACTGATTTAAATAAGTAATATGACGATAACCTAATAAAAGAATTCAAAACTCTGGTTATAAAAATTAACATGTGTACAGCAAAAAGATTATAATTAAGATGACATCATACAAAATGGCTGTCAAAAATGTCAGTGTTGCCAGTAGCAAAAAAAAAGCATTGATTTTATAAGTTAAAACTTTATTTTAAACAGAAGAATAACTTTCAATAATAAATTTTTACTCTTCATATGAAAAAAATGAGATTAAATTTCAAAATGATCAAAACTCATAGGTGGCCATAATAAATTGTCACACGACTGTATATATAAAGTTTAAATATTTTGCAAAAACACTTTTATATGCAATAACCGCTTTATTGAATTGTGGCATGCTTGCAATTTATTTTTTATAGTTTCTGTCAACTCTGGGTTATTATGCTAGATCTTGATAATTTTTCTAATCTCTTGCTTTACTATTTCCCAAATATTTTCTATGGGGTTAAGATCATGCGAGTTGTCTGGCTATAGCAATACATCAACTAAGCCATAACAGTTTTTATTGTGTGGCAAGTTGCACCATCTTGCATAAATATAAGATTTTTGACATTATTTTTAAATTTTTTTGTCATTTTTTGACACTTTTGGCTGGACATCAATCCCTCTTCTTTGAGCCTTCTACAAATGGTCTGGTCTGACACAACAATTACAGCTTCATGGATAAGCTTAGTGGCTTTTTTTCTCATTTCCACGCAGATATTTCTGATTATACTGTCCGCTCTTGGTGTTTTCTTGCGTTTAGAAGGTGGTCTCCTTGGACCAAACTCTTCCCCTGTATTAATTCTTTTTCTTACTTGCATTACGGTTTGGTTAGAAACCTTTGTGGTTTGTGCAATTTTTCATTGAGAATAATTTGTATTTTGTAAAAGACATGTTT